GTAAAATAATGCCTCTCCAGAACATGTAAAATAATGCTCTCCAGACATGTAAAAATAATGCTCTCCATTTTTGTCCACGCTAATTCTACTCTCTAAACCAACGGTTCTCAACCTGTGAGTCATGACCACCCCGATGATATTGATTATTTAAACTTGAGTATGTAAAAATGTCGGCTCTGTGGCTAAGTCGATGCGAACGCTTCGTAATGCCGGGATGCTGGGTTCGATCCCAGCTGCGGGCCACGCGCCTTGCTTTGGTTTCGACAGTGGTATCAAGAAAGCCGACAGTCCAGAAAGATGTAAATTTGCCTAGCGAAACCACACAACAGCCAGGGGCTGTTAGTGTTGGTTCTGCAACGTCCTGTAAAGGATACGTAACTAACCATATGTAACAATAGTATCATGTCATTGCTTGCCTTGATTCTGGCAGCCGCATATTCTCAAGTGGTGGCTCCAGACGTGAACGCCTTCAATAAGGCCGTCTATAGCGCAGTTGTCATGGCAACTAATTTGTCGTCTGTGTTGAGGATAACAGCTCTGGACGTAAGTAGCATGTCTTTAACACACTCTACCAGCTGATCGTTTTCTTTGATTGATTGTTTGTGTCCGTTCTGGGTATATGTACGTTGTCAGCTGATCGTTTTCTTTGATTTATTGTTTGTGTCCGTTCTGGGTGTATGTACGTTGTCAGCTGATCGTTTTCTTTGATTGATTGTTTGTGTCCGTTCTGGGTGTATGTACGTTGTCAGCTGATCGTTTTCTTTGATTTATTGTTTGTGTCCGTTCTGGGTGTATGTACGTTGTCAGCTGATCGTTTTCATTGATTGATTGTTTGTGTCCGTCCTGGGTGTAATGTACGTTTGTCAGCTGATCGTTTTCTTTGATTGATTGTTTTCTTTGATGTTGTTGTGTCCGTTCTGGGTGTATGTACGTTGTCAGCTGATCGTTTTCTTTGATTGATTGTTTGTGTCCGTTCTGGGTGTATGTACGTTGTCAGCTGATCGTTTTCTTTGATTGATTGTTTGTGTCCGTCCTGGGTGTATGTACGTTGTCAGCTGATCGTTTTCTTTGATTGATTGTTTGTGTCCGTTCTGGGTGTATGTACGTTGTCAGCTGATCGTTTTCTTTGATTGATTGTTTGTGTCCGTTCTGGGTGTATGTACGTTGTCAGCTGATCGTTTTCATTGATTTATTGTTTGTGTCCGTTCTGGGTGTATGTACGTTGTCAGCTGATCGTTTTCATTGATTTATTGTTTATGTCCGTTCTGGGTGTATGTACGTTGTCAGCTGATCGTTTTCATTGATTTATTGTTTGTGTCCGTTCTGGGTGTATGTACGTTGTCAGCTGATCGTTTTCATTGATTTATTGTTTGTGTCCGTTCTGGGTGTGTGTACGTTGTCAGCTGATCGTTTTCTTTGATTTATTGTTTATGTCCGTTCTGGGTGTATGTACGTTGTCAGCTGATCGTTTTCTTTGATTTATTGTTTGTGTCCGTTCTGGGTGTATGTACGTTGTCAGCTGATCGTTTTCATTGATTTATTGTTTATGTCCGTTCTGGGTGTATGTACGTTGTCAGCTGATCGTTTTCTTTGATTTATTATTTGTGTCCGTTATGGGTGTGTATACGTTGTCAGCTGATCGTTTTCTTTGATTTATTGTTTGTGTCCGTTCTGGGTGTATGTACGTTGTCAGCTGATCATTTTCTTTGATTTATTGTTTGTGTCCGTTCTGGGTGTATGTACGTTGTCAGCTGATCGTTTTCTTTGATTTATTGTTTGTGTCCGTTATGGGTGTATATACGTTGTCAGCTGATCGTTTTCTTTGATTTATTGGTTGTGTCCGTTCTGGGTGTGTGCACGTTGTCAGCTGATCGTTTTCTTTGATTTATTGTTTGTGTCCGTTCTGGGTGTATGTACGTTGTCAGCTGATCGTTTTCTTTGATTTATTGTTTGTGTCCGTTCTGGGTGTATGTACGTTGTCAGCTGATCGTTTTCATTGATTTATTGTGTGTGTCCGTTCTGGGTGTATGTACGTTGTCAGCTGATCGTTTTCTTTGATTTATTGTTTATGTCCGTTCTGGGTGTGTGTACGTTGTCAGCTGATCGTTTTCTTTGATTTATTGTTTGTGTCCGTTCTGGGTGTATGTACGTTGTCAGCTGATCGTTTTCTTTGATTTATTGTTTATGTCCGTTCTGGGTGTATGTACGTTGTCAGCTGATCGTTTTCTTTGATTTATTGTTTGTGTCAGTTTTGGGTGTATGTACGTTGTCAGCTGATCGTTTTCATTGATTTATTGTGTGTGTCCGTTCTGGGTGTATGTACGTTGTCAGCTGGTCGTTTTCTTTGATTTATTGTTTGTGTCCGTTCCGGGTGTATGTACGTTGTCAGCTGATCGTTTTCATTGATTTATTGTTTATGTCCGTTCTGGGTGTAAGTGCGTTGTCAGCTGATCGTTTTCTTTGATTTATTGTTCATGTCCGTTCTGGGTGTAAGTGTGTTGTCACTGATCGTTTTCGTTGATTGTTTATGTCCGTTCTGGGTGTATGTACGTTATCAGCTTATCGTTTTTGTTGAATGATTATTTTCGTTCTGGGTGTATGTACGTTATCAGCTGATCGTTTTCGTTGATTGTTTATGTCCGTTCTTGGTGTACTGGCGTTGTCAGCTGATAGTTTCCGTTGATTTATTGTTTATGTCCCTTCTGGGTGTACGTGCGTTGTCAGCTGATCGTTTCCGTTGATTTATTGTTTATGTCCGTTCTTGGTGTACGTGCGTTGTCAGCTGATCGTTTCGTTGATTGTTTGTGTCCGTTCTTCATGAACTGCAGGCAGTCGATACCATTGTGGAAATTGATCTGATGCCAAATCGCCAAAAGCCGGGATCCAGTTAAACACCACATTCGTAGAGCCTAAACCACGGACAACTCAAGCAAAAGCAACATTTTACGAAATAAAGAAGTTTTTGTGTAATATTTCTTTGTCAATTAGAGACGAGAAAGAGAGTTATTAAAAGCTATGTAATCCTATCTTGATATATGTAAGTAAGTCATGATCAGTTGGTAAATTAGTCAAACATTATTTGGAAGCTACGGAGATGATTAGAATACCCTGGACAGTTAGAAAGAGTAATGAAAGTGTCTTGAAAGAAACTGACTCACGTAAAGAACTGATTGCCCACATCAGAAAAAAGATGATCTTCATTATTTGGTCATGTGATGAGAAGTAGAGAACTAGAATACACACTGGCAGTAGGAACGCTGGAGGGAAGGTGGGGCAGAAGTAGACCGAGAGACTAGATGCTGGACAGTTCGACGTCATGGAGGAAAATATATGTCAAAGTTGACTGAAACCTTATATTTCGTGTACTTTCACTCAACTCTGACACATGTGATCTTCGATGCTGCCATTTCAAGCTTTCCGACATCTTCTCTCCCGGTCTCCCTCTGTCTCTTTATTCCTTCAACTTTCCCACTCCCTCACGATCTACTCCAGTGTGTTCCGTCTCCTGTCTTGATCAGAGAATGTCAATTGTCTCCTTCTGATGTGAGCAATTAGTTCTTTTGTTGAATCAGTGTCCGCCCTGAGATCTTCATAACTAATTTGATCTGTCTATGATGTTGTCATGGATGCGACAATGAAAAACAACACATTAAAAATGAGAATCGTCAGATGTTTTGAAAACTAAACTTTGCAGTGTGGTGTAGAAACACGAGCAATGAACAAGCAATCAGAAAATTGAATGGAAATAAGGATTTACAGAAGAATATGTCGTATTTCATATGGAAATAAGGTTCTAGAAAGACTACGAATGAAAAGATAACTACTAAATAAAATAAACAGGAGAGAACTGAAATATTTTGGCCATATTAAAAGGCATAATACCTTGTTAAAACGTAGTGGAGGGAAAGATCGGGGGTAAAAAGCAAGAGTTAGACAACGACACAAGTGGGAGGACAACATCAAAAGATAGGCGAACAGCAATCCAAGAGAGTGTGCAACAGTAGTATAAAATAACGAAAAAGTGCTTCCCATATGGGAGCGGTTATTGATAGAGGGTACTGGATAGGTAGGTAGGTAAGTTGTACCAGACCAGGACATCACACAAGGTGGGTAGGTATGTTGTACCCCACCAGGACATCACACAAGGTAGGTAGGTAAGTTGTACCAGACCAGGACATCACACAAGGTGGGTAGGTATGTTGTACCCCACCAGGACATCACACAAGGTAGGTAGGTAAGTTGTACCCCACCAGGACATCCCACAAGGCCGGTAGGTAAGTTGTACCCCACCAGGACATCACACAAGGTAGGTAGGTAAGTTGTACCCCACCAGGACATCCCACAAGGCCGGTAGGTAAGTTGTACCAGACCAGGACATCCCACAAGGTGGGTAGGTAAGTTGTACCAGACCAGGACATCACACAAGGTGGGTAGGTATGTTGTACCCCACCAGGACATCCCACAAGGTGGGTAGGTAAGTTGTACCCCACCAGGACATCACACAAGGTGGGTAGGTATGTTGTACCCCACCAGGACATCACACAAGTTAGGTAGGTAAGTTGTACCCCACCAGGACATCACACAAGCGATAAACACCTTGTGACACAAAGTGTCAGCATACGGATGAGGATCACCCGTGGAGAGTTCCCAGAAACCATTTTCAGCCGTTCGGCCATATTTCAGGAACGGCTAAATTTAACCCCCCACCCCGGCAAAAGCCAGGGTGGAGCTTCAAAATAACTAAAAATTGCATCCCACAAGGGGATGGCGAGATTAAGGAACTAAGAATATCTGTCTGTCTGTCTGTCTGTCTGTCTGTCTGTCTGTCTGTCTGTCTGTCTGTCTGTCTGTCTGTCTGTCCTGTCTGTCTGTCTGTCTGTCTGTCTGTCTGTCTGTCTGTCTGTCTGTCTGTCTGTCTGTCTGTCTGTCTGTCTGTCTGTCTGTCTGTCTGTCTGTCTGTCTGTCTGTCTGTCTGTCTGTCTGTCTGTGCGTGCCTGTCTTTGTGTGCGTTTGTGCGTGTGCGTGAGAGAGAAAGAGAGAGGGAGAGAGAGATGGAGGGAGGGAGAGAGAGAGGGAGGGAGGGAGGGAGAGAGAGAGAGAGAGGGAGAGAGAGATGGAGGGAGGGAGAGAGAGAGGGAGGGAGGGAGGGAGAGAGAGAGAGAGGAAGAGAGAGAGAGAAAGAGAGAGAGAGAGAGAGAGAGAGAGAGAGAGAGAGAGAGAGAGAGAGGGAGAGAGAGAGAGAGAAAGAGAGAGAGACGCGGGACATCCTGCTTGTGATCGATAAGTTTTCCGGAAAGTTGTTATGGGAGCAAGGTACACCTCTGTTTTCCTCTCCGCAGGTCTTTCAGCTTTCTCTCCGCAGGTCTTTCAGCTTTCTCTCCGCAGGTCTTTCAGCTTTCTTGCTTGCAACCTAAACTTGTTCTGTCGTAGGTTATTTAAACATGAAATTATGTCAATTTAAATTCTGAATAGGTTACACAAGAGACACTATTAAACACAAGTCTTTCAACTTAGAGTTTGTACATAATTTAAGTTAACGTAACATTTTATCTTTTTTTTTTTGCAAGAGCAGCCGTAAACGTTCTGGAGCTTTCCAGCTTCATTGTCAAGAACATAATAGATAGTAGTAACTCAGTACTGCAGATATAAGTGTATCTCACTTTATGTTTGTTTCCTCCTTATTTTAGGTGCAGCCTACAAGCGCCTCTGACATTATTGTTATCTTTAAACTCTTGGATATTGCATCCATCAACACCCAGGGAGACGTGACACTGGCTCAGCGTGATGCGCCCAATTCTCAGATTCTGGCAGATCTGTGTCAGTCAATCAACAGTGGCAACTTTGTCATTGAAATCACCAGTGTTACAGATGCAGGAACGGTTGGTGCCAATTCTATCTGTGATCCTAATGTTATCAAATGTGTCACTGAAAAGAATTTTTTTTAAACTCAATTTATATTTTAAAAACGATTGGATTGCCGTTGCATTTAAAGCCGAACCTCCTCTATATAGATGGTAATACATGTCTTCCCCTGATAATAGTCCATATCGTGTAGCATTGGTAACCACTGACCATGTCTGTCCACGGCCTTCTGTCATGTGTAGCGTTGGTAACCACTGACCATGTCTGTCCACGGCTTTCTGTCACGTGTAGCGTTGTTAACCACTGACCATGTCTGTCCACGGCCTTCTGTCACGTGTAGCGTTGGTAACCACTGACCACGTCCGTCCGCGGCATTATGTGACGTGTAGCGTTGGTAACCATTGACCATGTCTGTCTACGGCCTTCTGTCCCGTGTAGCGTCGGTAACTATGTCTGTGCACGGCCTTCTGTCATGTGTAACGTCGGTAACTACGTCTGTCCACGGCCTTCTGTCATGTGTAGCGTTGGTAAAAACTGACCATGTCTGTCCACGGCCTTCTGTCACGTGTAGCGTTGGTAACCATTGATTATGTCTGTCCACGGCCGTCTGTCACGTGTAGCGTTGGAGATCATGTGTTTCCAAGGATATTCTGTCACTTGTACTTGTGGGGAAATAATTTCGGTTACATGCGTTCTTCCATGCCTCGATACCAAACAGAGCTAAATTTTCTCTCGGTGTCTCTTCTCTTCTCCTCCGACTTTCCTGTTGTGACGAGATTCTCCGTGTTTCCCATTTCTCATGGCGATTCCCAATACATAACCCAACTCTTCACCTGTTAGGATCATGGAGGTGTATCGTTGGAAGCCCAGAGACAAAAAACCAACGGTTTTTCTCTTCCTTCCGCTTCTTGAACCAGTGAATGATAACTTAGTCCTGTCCGTATCTTGATGTTGTAATTTTCGGTCTTTTTTGCCCTCCTCTTCTTCGACTATCTCCCAATGTTCCTTGATACACTCTTTGCAAAGGAATCATGCCTCACCACTCGCCCGAGCCAAGCTAGCCTGCGACGGTACACCACTATTTTGTATACTTTTTAGTTGTATGTTCTAAATATTTAATTAGTAAAATTCCTCAGCAGCATTTACATTCGAATGCCTGAATTCTCCTTTCCAATTCCACATTGAGAGTCCAGCTCTCACATCCTCATCAACTGACCTTTACTGCGATGCAGATTTGTCTCCTCTTCCACATTAATCGCACCTTTTCCTGTGTCATCACACTAGACAGGAGTTGTCGGGTGCAGAATCCTGTTACTGTCGACGCCGAGGTCCACGCACTTGTCAGCGACAATTCAGATAAGGCAGATGATCTACACAGATGGGTCCGTTGCACAAAAACACAAGAGCGCATGTGCAATCACAGCTCGTCACAGGCGGAACAGTTGAAGAAGCCAGCGGTGCCTTCTCCGTGACTACCAGCAGCATGAGGATGGAGGTGATGGCGGTGATACATCTATCATGTGACTGTAATCACAGGACTGTTCCCGCATGTGTGTGCTGAATGACTTTATGAATGTGATTCGGCCGGTCGAGAGAGGCTCCCTAAGCAGACAGTGGATTGAGTCATTGCGAAATGCCCCTGTGCATGCAGTTACCTTCAATTGTATCCCAGGATATGCAGGTGTAGTTGGCGATGAAACAGCTGATCGACTGCTGTTTCTGCCTCAGTTGTAAACAGCCAAGCCTATAGTTGATGCTGACATTGTTAGATACTGGATGATCTGAGGATTTGGGGAGCAGCGAGTCCACATCATTGCTAAGAATACTAAAATTGTGAGTTAAGATGGGCACAGTTATCTTGAAAGGCACACCGGACTACACGAAGTCTTGTTAATTAGCAAAGGACTGGCACTGATAACCGTGGGACGCTGATGTAAACGTTGAAGGAGGAACCTGACTACCTATGGACGTGTCCAGCATAGGCTACTGTGAAGATGAACCAACTCGTAACTCAGGCCTAACCGTGCAGCACTCAATGGTTGGCACTTGCTTTGGTTATTCTGTGTAAATGTTCTCTGCTTTCAATGTCATCAATCCATTTTTTGTAAACCTGTGGATGCGTTCTTGATCTCGTTTTAGCTCTTCCTAAAAGTAGCGCATGTGTTTCTGATTGCTGTTGATGTATTCTGACATAATGCGCAAACCATTTGCTCTTCTGCCTCTCACTGTTGTACACAATGTGTTGTTTCCAAACCTTGTCGGATAGTACGAACCTACCATACAACCAGAAAGATGGCAGGGAATTGAATTGTTCAGGTAACATTTCTCAAGAATCATATTAGATTGTCAAAGTGTAAAATTGCAAAAGGATTTTGTTAGCTGTATCATTTTTAATTGAGCACACAGTTGCAACGCTTATCTGCAGTTGAAATATTTTATGTAGGATTAAAAAGTACAAGTATGCCATTTTGACGTCACTAGCGAATCTAGCATACGTACTAGACCATTTTTTTTTTCTTGTTCTGAAAGCAGTGGTCTCAGTGGGTGATATGAAAAACACCCCACGAGCCATATTGACTTCCATGACATTTTCTTGACACTTATTTCAAACCAGGACTACTTAAGAGCCCAGGTATTTTTAAAAAAAAAATGCTTTGATGTGGATTTGAACTGAAGACTTTAGGGCCTTCGGGCAAGCGTCTAGCCACTGCCCTCCCATGACTCCGTTTAATCGGGATATACATGTTCTATTGTCACACAATCCGCTCATATGAGGTTTTGCGTCACTGAAACATGTGGGCTTATAAACCTTGACGCCCTCCTTCCCCCACGCCCACCGGCATTGTACCGGTGGATAACGCCCCTTCTAACGCCCACCGGCAATGTGGTGGATAACGCCCCTCCCCTTCCCCACGCCCACCGGCAATGTACCGGTGGGTAACGCCCCTTCTCCCTTCCCCCACGCCCACCGGCAATGTACCGGTGGATAACGCCCCTTCTCCCTTCCCCCACGCCCACCGGCAATGTTCGTGGATAACGCCCCTTCTCCCTTCCCCATCGAGCTGTCTTTTTAAATATGTGTATATATTTCATTTTAAATATTTTTTCAGATCTATTTTTTTTTTACTTACTTGCAAATCCACGCTTTATTGTTGCAACGGATGAATGCTGTCCCTCACCCCCCCCCCCCCCACCCCTTTTTCTTTTTTTTTTTGGGGGGGGGGAGTTCATGACAGCATTCATCCGTTGCTCTGTTTGAACACTTGCCATGACATTGTCATCCTTCAGGCCAAGAGAACCGTCACCGCCCTAAGCCAACTCCTGTGGGCAGTGCCCGACAGCAAATACTCCCACCATACCACAACAGCCTTCACAACCCGCGTGGCAGCAGCCAACAACAACGTCGCTAGTGCCAACCACCGTAGAGTCACAGCAATATTCTAACTCGCCGTTGTCCGGCTACTCAGCAGGTATATATATATATATTTGTATATTTGTTATAGTTTATCTGTTTACTGAAATTCATTCGGACACCGAAGATTGTATTTGTTACATGGGTTAGGGAGGGAAAGAAAGAAAGAAAGAAAGAAAGAAAGAAAGAAAGAAAGAAAGAAAGAAAGAAAGAAAGAAAGAAAGAAAGAAAGAAAGAAAGAAAGAAAGAAAGAAAGAAAGAAAGAAAGAAAGAAAGAAAGAAAGAAAGAAAGAAAGAAAGAAAGAAAGAAAGAAAAAGAAAGCATAAGACATTAAAATAATGTGTGGGAGAAAGAGAAAGAAAGAAAGAAAGAAAGAAAGAAAGAAAGAAAGAAAGAAAGAAAGAAAGAAAGAAAGAAAGAAAGAAAGAAAGAAAGAAAGAAAGAAAGAAAGAAAGAAAGAAAGAAAGAAAGAAAGAAAGAAAGAAAGAAAGAAAGAAAAAAAAGAAAGAAAGAAAGACATTAAAATAATGTGTGGGAGAGAGACGGGGGGGGAGGTTAAAAAACACAGATCAAATGTAGTGTAATGTTTCTCTTTGTACTGGGTCTCACTGGTACTACTAAGACACTGGCTATTGTCTAGAGGTCGAGTTCACAGATCAGACGAGACGGATCTTCCTCCCAATCAACTGCCTCACTTCTTCACATGCTAGTTGACCAGAGTTGAGTAGCTTCATATTTATTTGTCCTAACACATGAGCTACGAGAACCATTTACCTGCCGAATATCAACTTTACAGCCAGACACCTACTTCATCCATCCGTTTCATGTGCTCGCTATTGAAGCATACAGCCACCGTTTGGACGGTCAACGGGGACACGCACACAACTGCACAATTAGCAGCCAGCAGGACACATCAGTCGTCTTTCTCTCACCTGTCTTTCAACATAACTTGCGATGCAGACGATCCGTTTCCACTGCATCCAGCTCTGGATCACTTCCACTCACTCTCGCTCGGGGGCCTTGTAACAGAATCACTCGCTGTTCAGCTAGTCCCCCAGATCTCGTGTTCCCGAGTCAACTCACATAATCTCACGCAGTCTTCATGTCTTCTATCTCTATCTATCTTCTTTTACCCCACCAGGACATCACACCCGATGACACAAAGTGCCACCATGTGGGTGAGGATCACCCGTGGAGAGGTCCCAGAAACCCCGTTTTAGCCATTCAACCATTTAGGCCGATATATGCGGCCGGCAAGAGCCAGAGTAGGGCTTTAAAAAAACGAAAAATTGCATCCCGCAAAGGGATGACAAAATGAGTAGCAGAGTCTTCATGTATACAACCGACGATTTATCCTACGTCTATCAACCAATCAAACCCCTTGTATTAATCCTATATTTAGCATCACTACAGGTAAAAACGTTTGACTGGTTAATGGTGTTTGCAATTTTCTTATCATACGATTGCTTCATTTTTAATTATCAAATCTTATCCAAAAGACGTTTTGAATAAACTCTTCTCTTTATGTTGTCTACTAATTATGCTTATAACAAGTAGGTATAAAATTGTGTACATAAACTAAGAAG